AGGAGACACAACTTAGTGCTAGGGAAAAACAGAAAGACCAAAAAAATCCCTGGTGTGGAGCTGCCTTTGGTGGGCTTCCCTGCAGAAGGGGGATGGAGAATCTCAGGTCTCTCCCAGGGGTGCCCTCCCACCCAGCCCAGAGCCCCCCACAGCCCCAGCTCCACTCTCACCCTGCCCTGCTCTCTGCAAAGCCAGTTCCCATGTGTCAGGATCTGTCCCTGGTGCAGGGTCCTTCCCTGCTGCTTTTACGCAGCACTGCTCCCTGTGTGTGCTGGGGTAAGCAACGCTGGAGCCCAATCCCCCCCAAAATCATGACGGACACGAAAGCCGGCTCCTGTGTTGTTCCCAGGCTGCCGCAAGCTGCGCGGGGCAGACACGGACCGTACACCAGGCAAATGCTTCCCATCTGCCTTTATTTGTGAAGTTACAGGATTTTTTTACAGGCACTGTGCGTTGGTGTTTCAGACCAGTTCGGCTTTTTCTCTGTATTACCAATGACCGAGGGGGTTGGTGGGAGCGGGGAAAATCCCTCACAGCAACCGTTCCAGCCTCCAGAAAGGCATAAGACATCTGAGAGGAACAATCTGCTTCTTCTGAAGCCACGAAGCAAGGAATCTGGTTTATAAACAGGCTTAAAAAATAATATACATATGTAAGAGCAGCTCAAAGCTAAAGTACAGCGATAACTGGTACATACCTATGCATATCTGTTCACACCCTTTCCCCAAAGCTGGAAAAGGGATGGTTTAAAAACTAAAAACACAGTTTAAAAAAAAGAGGGATTCCATGCATTAAGTTTTAGTGTTTTGTGCAATTAAAATGGGATGAAAATAAATATAACTTAAAAAAACCCCAACCTTTTCCATGACACTAATGGAACAGAGGCAAGTCTATAAGGCACTTCCACATGGGCTACTCTAGAAAGCCTGGCAAAGAGCTAAAACAGTGCAACCATTTACAATGGCATCAGATGAGCTAAAGACATCTGTCTGGTGAGATATGAACTGAGAAGAACCTTAAGAGACTTCAATCCTTGGGAAAGAGGCTGGGGCATGGCTGCAGACAGCTCAATGGCCAACTCCTCCTCCTTATTGCTGCCAGGAGAAGACCTCCCCCACCAAGGATGCTGGACCCACCGACCGACGGCAGAGGGGCTCTGGAGCACCGCTCGCAGGGAGCGAGATGAGACAGTGGGTTTGGGGATGGAGCGGGTGAAGGATTTGCGGTCATCAAGCTCCTGTGCACCACCTCCAGCGCTGCACGTTCCTTCTGTCCTCAGCACGAGGGACTCCCCAGCTTGCCCTGCAGCCTCCCTTCCCCGCCGTCCTCTCGATCACTGACCTTTAGCGAGCCAGCTCTGCCGCGAGCAAGCCGCTTAGTTCAAATGTTCCAGGAAGTTAAAAAATAGCCTCCACCCTAAATAGGGAACTGAGTGTTTTTGCAGGAGTGGAAGCACAGAGGCCATGCTCGCAGCCTGAGCAGGCTGGGAAGCCAGCGCCGAAGGGCAGCGGCAGTCAGCCACCTGTGCAGGAAAAAAAGGGAAGGCATGGGGATGCTTGACCCCAACTCTGCTTTGCCAAAGGCGACTAACCCAGCCAGCTCGAGAGCTGCTTTGCTGCTGTAACCCTTTGCCTGCTGCTGGTAAAAATTACAGAGATGCGCCAGGCAGGAGGCTCGCCCCAGGCCGGGTGCAGGCATTGGCGGCACTACCCCTACACGTGTGCTCAGCTGCTGCCAAAAAAGACTGATCAACCTACTTTAGGCTACTTTAGGTCTCATAGTAGTCCCTTATAAGCTATTTTTCTTGCCCCCAGCCCTGCCCAAAGTCTTTATTCCCCGTGGAGGGCTGGAGACTGCAGCTAAGGAGGGCAGAAGCAGGGGAGCTGGCTCTAGAGAGGAGCTTGAAGTGTTACCCACCATGCCAGCGCACCCAGCACAGGGCACATGGGTAGGAAGCACCTGGCCGTGGTAAATACCTGTGCCCGACCACGCAGCCCCGCAGTAGGAAGGAAACCCTCGCCCTCCAGCGCTACCTGAAAATAACTGAGCAACCTCTATGGGTTGTCTTGAACACAAAGAAAAACCCAAATCTCCCCTTCTAGCATCTCCTAATGACTCGGCACAGCCAGGTCCCTAGGCTGAAAGGTGCTGGCAAAGACAACTAAAGGGCTCCCACCTGAGTATCCTTCGCCGTCTCCAGGCCTTGTTCATGCACCTTGGCTGCCAGAGGGTCCTGGGCATGGCCATTGAGTGTTTCTGGGATGAAGCTACCGATCCCAGCGCAGGGAGAGGCTCCTTCCTCTGCCAGCCCTCTTAAAATCAGGCTGCGCAAGAGACAAAAGCACGATAGGCAAAGCACGCGCTTACCTAAGCAACCCCTCCGGGCTGCTCCCGGCCGGCACGGCCGCGTGCTCCCACTGACTCTGCGAAGCCAAGGTTTCAAGTTCAGCTTTTGTTCTGGCAGGTTAGCTCTCTATTTACATGGAGAGGAAAAAAAAAAAAAAAAAAACCAAGACAACCTAAAAATCCACAACAAAAACACATTAAATAGGGAGAGTATAGCTTTCAAATGGGAAGGGCGAGGGCTGGAAAGTGTCTTGTAGTGCAGTTCAGAAGAGTCAGTTGGGGGCAGGTTGGGGGTAGTGGCAGAGTCGGATGCGCGGCTTTAATGCAAGTCTTCGCTCTGGGACAACTCTGTCAGGATCTGAATGAGGTTGTCCAGCCCCCAGAGGTAGCCGTCCTCTCTGTTCCCTTCCACCCAGGGCACGTTGTGCTGGAGAACTTGTCCCTCCGGCAGCGGGGTGGTTTTCCCAAAGTCAATCATCCAGACTTTGGCCTGTTCCTTCTTGTCATGAATGAAGAGGAGGGAGCTCCCGATTACCTGCGGAGAGGAGAGACCAGTTAGTGGCGCTCCTATTGCTCATTCTCAGCCGCCTTCAGGGCTTTCAGCCACCTTATCTCAGGCTGCATTTGCAAGATATGATGCTGAGATTTTGCACGAGCAAAAGCAAGCTGTCTGTGTTGCTGGCTGCATTTGCACATGCAAATCAGGTGTTCAGACAAGCTGATTTACTCATACAAATCCCAGCTCTTGGCACAATGAGAGGATCAGGAAAACATGGGCATGAAAGATAGAAATGTCATTTTGGAAACTGAGTCAAGGTCTCCAGGGAAGGAATGAGATGATTTGTCTCAGACTTCAGATGGGGATTTTTTTCCAAGGTTGGTTCTTTGTGACTGGCTCTTGCTATTCATGCTCACCAGCCCTGCAGACATCACCACAGGGATGAGTGCGCTCCAAGTACAAGTTACTTGCAATGTGCTGTCTCCTGCCTGAAACACCATCCAATTGCACCCACATTCCCCCTAGAATATCCTCCTGGCTTTCACAGTGCTCAGGGGATGCAAGTTACAGAGCTGCATGTACATGAATTTCCTTTTCTGTGAGTTCACTCGGCTGCATCTGCTTTGAAGGGCTCTTTCGTATCCTGATTGGCCTTTGGGAAAATCCTGCAGCAAGTATTGGCCTGGGCAAGCCCAGGGAAGCCCACGGGTGCATTTGGGAAGGTAAAGCACGTCACCTCTGACAGCAGAAGTCTCAAGGCCTGTTGCAGTGGGACGAGACCCCGCAAGCCCAATGCTCACCACCCCTGGAGCAGAGGGATGCTCAGCAGTGGGTGCCTCCAGCTCAGCTCCCAGGCCCATCCCGCTCACAGTCCCAGCCAGGCTGCTGCCCAGCAGCCGCTCCGCTGTGACTTCCCAGTGCTTGGGGAACACATATCAGTGCCATGCCATTCACCATCGTGCTCTTCTGCTGAATCTGCTCCCCCAGTCAGAAGGTTTTAGCAGGCAGTACTACAGAAAAGCACCAACAGGCGTGCTTCAGAGCTGTCCCAATGAAGTTTGCTTTCCAAATTGTGTCCGATGTGCACGAATTGGTGGATTATGAACTCGCTTGCCCTTGTATCACAAACAGGGCCCTGGGTGACCAGAGCACAGTGGCTGTTAGCAGACAGGATACAGTGTGCTGAGAGCCAGGAGTGCCCCATAACCTGTGCAGGTATGTGGAAAGTGCAGCTCTAGGTGCGTCCAGCTGGTGTCAGCCCGCCAAAACAGCAGCACGACATGTTACTTGGGGACTCCCACGTCCATGCTATCAGCAGGGTTTAGGTTTGAGGTTTGTCTTTAGATGAGGGCTTTGAATGGGAATCATGGACTGTTTGCAAAAGCTATTATGAATTCACATTTTTGAGGAGACTTCCTCCTCCAGCGCATTGGGAAAACATCCAAGGTCCAGAGATATGTATCATTTCCCAGAAATTATTATCTTTAGCTCTTCTCCTAAGCTCTTATAGCCCTCTCTTGGCCAGGACAGAGCATTTTAACTTTAAGGAAAAGCCTTCTGCTGACATGCTTCGCTCACCTGTCCTGGGTCGCCAAATTCTCCTATATCTCCTTGGAGGAGCCCTGCCCAGCAAGAGCCCCATGGAGGGACACTCAGAGTTTGGCTGACCTGCTGCGCTTCATCTCGAAGTGGGACGGAAAGTCAATGCTGATGCTTTTTAATTCTTAAGGAGTGGGAACTCCTTTCAAAACTTCCTTGAAAGGCTGTTTTGTTTCTGTGTTTTCAAATGAAACCCTGGCACTTGTTTCAGGGAGCATTTTGTTTCCCATGTTGAACTGACCTGAAACCCTCGGTTTTGACATTTCCCTTCTGTCAGGAGGCACGGCCCCATCTGCCTCCGGCTCCTGGCAGGACCCTCTGTGTGCGGCCGGGGCCGAGGTGGCTCACGCGGCTCTGGCTGAGGGACAGTGGGCTCTTGGAGCTCTGGCTCCTGCTCCCTGTGAGTCGAGGGCTCCTATGAAGCTCTTTTGCTCATAGACAACACATGCCAAGGAGCCAAGGACATGTGCTCTCATGTTTTGTTAAGTAGATGCAACAGCAAATACTCTTTGCCAATGCCAAATCAATAAAATGATTTAATTAAATTATAGAGCATTCCAATTTCTGTTGAAATGGCCAAAAAATGTAGCGCTTCCTCTTTGTTTTCCCACCAGAACTGAATTTTCACTGTAGAAAATGTTCATTTCATGGATACTCATTTCTGGAGGAAAGTCCTTCCAAGGGAAGAGTTCTTACCATGGTGTCCCAACCAGCTCAGCAAAGGCAGTTTTGGGATATTTGCAATTTATGACTATGCTGAAGCCTTGTTTGATCACATGGAGCAACTGGCAGACAAATGATACCTGATTTGCATTCAGACAGGCATTTCTCTCCAGAAAACCCCCATGCTTTTACTCTAAGGATTTTTCCCAGTCATATAAACCCATAAGCAGCCCAAATTCCTCCTGGATCACTTGTAATCTGTATGAACTTTGGTTTTCAGTAGATTTGAGCCCATGTCAGATGCATGAAAGTTATATCAGTCATCAGCTGTGTTTCCACATTAACATTAGGTAAACAGGGATATGAAAATATGGATACAAGAATATATTAAAAATTGTAGAAATGTACAGCCTCTGACTTGGACTTCTCTTCTCTCCTTGGACAAGCTGAGATTAAACCATTTGCATTTCCAGGCAGATCATCTAAACACGAGTATTACCTCATGGCACTTGAAGAATGGGGATGTCTCCAGGGTAGCACGGATACCCTTCAACCGGTTAAGGTAACTGTTCTGGAATTACAGAAAAAAAGCCAAAACACAATCTGTCAGCGCTGCGGGAAGCCTACGTAAAAACTGTTGCATCAAGCAGACAGGAAGATCACCCCTCCCAGCATCCTCTCCATGATACCATGTTTGCATGGAGAGATACCGGGGGTGTCCCCCAGCCACCCTGCGCTCCACATCCTCCCACAGACCTGTCCCCGGGAGGGTATTCCCTCTTTTTTGGGATCCACTTATCCTTTTGGTCTCTACAGCATCCTGTGAGCTCCTGTGGCTTCCAAAGCTGAACCGGTGCTTTCTGCAGAGTTTCCCTGCTGCATCCATGGTGGTCCCGAGGAGGGAATCGCTAATTCAGCAGCTGCTGCTGTGCATGCACAGCCAGGCTGCTTTTTTCTCTTACCTGCACTCTTTTTAATAGGTCAACTCTTCACCTCATCTATCATTTTATCACTCAGTCAGCCAAGCATTGTGAGACACTTCTGTAACTCCGTATCAGCACTTCTGCAAAGTTGGTACCACAGGTGGAAGGGCTTTCACACCAGTCAGCATGCAGGTCAAGGCCCACATGCCTGTTTGAACATCCCTGCGAATTGCTGGAAGGCACTAAACGTTCTCAGGGCCCCCTTTGACAATTTGATTTTGAGGTTTAGATAGAAGGACTAAGCACAGGAACACACACAGCAGGTATCTGGGCACTATACTACACCTAAATTTTCACACTTTGACTGCCTGGGGAGACGTGGAGGTTGCTGTGTTGCAATAGTTTGGCCAAGGAGCCCTGTCCAGAGCCAGGGCATGGTGGTGTGAGCGTGCTCCAAGCTCTTTGGGGATAAAATGCCTCCAGGCAACTTAATGTTTGGATCCAGGAGTAATCCCTGGGTAACTCTTGTCAAAGCAAACATGCTGGTTTGAAGGAGGCAGTGCCAAGGGCCACTCCAGCTGGAGCCTTGCATTTGTAGGCTTTATATAGCACAGCTTAAAACGGGAGCGCTTTGTCAAATAGGATATTTGACACAGTTGGTGTAAACTGTTTACAGCTACATCTCTTACTATCCTGGCAACATAGAGAAACTTGGGAAATGCCGACTGTGGCTTGCCCATACAAAGGGCACCTGGCGCAGGCAGGGGGATGCCTTGGACACCCTTCCTGTGAGACCGAGCACAGGGCAGCTCCCTCTGCCAGGGTGGGAACCCCTGCCATCAAATGCTGGGGTAAAGAGCAGCCTCAGAGGCTGCCGGCAGCCCCGGGGATGAGGGGGCAGAGCATGGCTGTGCCTCCGCAGCAGGTTTTGGGGCCAACCCTTGAGCATCTTCAGCAGACTCGCACCCAGCTCAAGCAGTGCTGCTGCAGCAAATGTGTCCCCTCCCAGCCCTCCGCTGCTCTCCCCTCACCCCTGCACCAGGATGGCACTTCTCTTTACCATTTTTCATGCTTTTTTCAGAGAGATTGCTCAGGCGGGCTGCAGCCCCTCAGGGCAGGGAGATGATGAGCAGAGGCCAGCCTCCATAGGAGGATGCCTCTCCAGGCAGCACCCCCCTAGCATCCCCCACTCACCAAAACATTGCGGTTTCCTCTGGTGAACTCCCTGAAGGCCTCCGTGACTTGTTCCTTTGTCCGCGTCTTCTTGAAGTCCCGGTTCACAGTGCCATCCTCTTTCTTGAAAAGAAGAGACAACGGTGAGTGGGATGAGGGGGGAGGGAGCTAGGGCAGGACCGGTGCTTCAGCAGCCATGCATGTCCCCACGTAGGACACAACCAGCCTTTTTGGCAGCTGAAGGACCTCCCTTTGGAGGAGGGGGTGAGCACAGGCAGCAGCTCTCTGCCTTGCACATTCCAAATCATCCCACAGCTCTGCTGCATTGCCCCCTAACACAGATGGCAAGTCTCCACCATCACATGCTTGCCAAGGACACCGGCAACGTGGACAAGCTACCTCTCATGGACCTGGCGCTCACTACCAACAGAATCTGGAGACCACCTGTTTCTGGCCACACTGTGCCCAAATGGCTTCCCATCACTGCTGTGGCTGAGCACAGGCATTGATACGAGTCTCGGGCTGCACCCCTGCTTGGGGAGGAAAGTGGAGCACAGCCACGGCAGGAAAACACTGAGTGTGGACAGAGACAACATCTCAGGAGCAGGCACAAAAACCCCTCCACACAAAGTCCTCCATGAACCACTGCAGCAAGGAGATGAAGGCAAGGAGCAAGCCCCACGGCTGTCTTGCCTCACTAGTCCTTTGGTAGTCCACAGATAGCAACCCCTCAAAGGCAGCAGCCTGGCACCGAGATGCAGTGAACAACCTTGTGCTCTCCTCTGCCTCTTCCCGAGAGGCACAGCTGTGCTTGGCCCACTGCAGGGATGGGATGGGACAGCTTGGTCCGCTGCAGGGACAGCATGCAGCCCTGACCCAGAGGCTCCTGGCTGAACCTCTGGGCAGCTTTGCAGGTCACTCCCCATTTCCCCAATCCTGATGGGGCTCTGATTTTTAGATCAGCACATTTCATTGTCCGGACTGGCCATGGGTCAGGCAGGCAGAGCTCACTTCCTGAATACAGGGGCTATTTTAAACCACATGTGCTTGTGCTCACAGCTCTACTTGCAGAGCTTCACCCCACCACTCCAGACAGCTTGTCTGCACACAATAGAGCAAAGGGACAGAGGCCAAAAACATCCTGTGGGCTAGGGAAGATGAAGTAAGGATGAAGAAGCAGAGCAGAGGCTGGGGAAGGAAGACAGCACAATGAAATCACCTGCCCTGGAGATTTATGTGCCCTGGCAGGACTTTGAGACCCATCCAGGTAGGTGCCCCAGGATGGGGCCACGTGCATCCCCCTGGGCAGAGGGCTGGCCATGGGCATGGTGGCCAGTCCAGCCTGGGGGAAGGCTGAGTGCCCAGGCTGTGGAGAGCTGAGCAAGGCTGACGTGCAGTTTCGGATGAATCACACAGCGCACTTCCAGCTTCCAGCTTGCATTTTGAGCAAGGGTTAACAAAGGACATAACAATAGCAACATGTGAAAGGTCTTAGTCTCCAGGAAAAGGTTTTTTTTTTTTTGCATGGGGTGCAACTGATGCACCCAGCTTCAAACCACCCTGGACCCGACCTGACCGCCTCTTGCCCCTGCACCGGTGCTGCCACAGGGTATAAAAGCAAGGCTGATGGCTGGCAGAGCCTGCACCAGCAAAGGTCGGGGACAACCTTCTTGCTGGAAACCTCCCTGCCGTAGCAGCCATCCTGCCAATGGGCCAAGCAGAGCCTGGCTCTCTGCTTTTGACTGTGTCTCACAAGGCAGCACGCTGCAGCAGCGCAGGCAGGAGGCCTCGCTGAGGATGCTCTGGTGGCACGTGCGCGATGTATAGGGGAAGGGCGCTATGCCGCTATACATCCGTCACATGAGCCCTGACATGGCAGTGCAGAAATCAACCCACCCTCTCCCCAGGGGATGATAGATATCAATTTGGAGAAGTGCCACAGCACTAATTTCACATGTAAAGAGCACAACTTTCCACAAAGCATCCAAGAAAGGAGATGGACTTCTAAGTGCTCCTAAAAATAAATTAAAACCACAGATGGCCTTTCAGATAAGGCAATCTAGGCTTCAGGAAAGCCAAACAGCCTATCTGTAATACTGCTCCCACAATTACCCCTCTCCTGTGGTTTCCTTGCCCAGCCAGACGCTGCTGCCGTAGGGCTGACGACTGCCACGACATTTACAGGTGTCTGAGCCCCGAGGGGGCTGCCTTCCACCCAGCAGAAATGTGAGGGGGGCTGATAAGGGCTCTCGCAACCTCCACCCCACCAGTGATTCCAGTTTGCACTGGCGTCACTGGGGCAGGCTTCGGGTCAGCCAGTTCCCCCTCTGGCACTGTGTCCAGCCTTGGATGGGGCTCGTGAGCCACCTGTCTTGGGAAAGTCAGGTGAGGGTTTTCAGGGCTGGTTCTGGGATCGCACAAATATCCCAGCACCAGGGTATACTATCCCACCATGGCCTTGTTGCAGGTAATGGCGAGTGACTCCCAGACCAGAGCAGGTGTTTGGGAGCAAAACTTGCAATGAACTCCAGCAAGCTTCAACTGGGTCACCAGGCATCACTCATATTACCTTTAACAGGGTAATTTTATCAATAGCTACCATTTCTAAGAGTTTCAAGCTACTCCAGAAAGTTAGATGAGTGTCATTATCTCCTTTTGCAGAGGAAAATTTCCATTTTAAAGAACCACCGGATCCTTGAGGCCACCTGGGAAAGCAAGAGCTCAGCCAGGAAAGGGTCCCCATCCTCATTCCCAACCCTGAGCTGCCTGTTCACCCCACCTGCCCACACTGTCCCAAAGGGCACTGCTGCTCCCCTCCTTACCCTGTGCCCCCTTCCAGCCCATGCACGCAGGGCCAAATCCTGCCCTTCCCTTGCACGGCAAGGGGCTCTCCTGTATCAGCTTCTGGCCGTGAGCGAGGGGCAGGGCAGATTCACCCCTGCTCTTCCCAGGGAAGCATCCACAGCAGGAAAGAAAACATAAGGAGACTTGTTATTAAAAAAAATTTTCCTGAAATTTCCTCTGAGGCCTCAGTAGCAGCTCAGGGCACTGAAGGTGCTTTCCCTAATGCAGAGACTTGACCCCAGAAATAGGGCAAATACAGGGATATGGCACAGCACGACCAGGTCTACAGCCCTGCTGATAAAAAAGCCAGCTGGGAACCAGCATGAACTGTTAATGCTTTAGCTTAGGGGAAAATAATCCAGAAGCTGAGGGATTTAAGGAGAGTTACAGTAATTAGAGCCTTGATCAAATTAGTCAGCCCCTAGCAGCAGCAGCAGGATTATTCCTGGAGGCCAGCACTTCTCAACATTTTTCAATTCAAGGACTGCCTCACCTCTTTGAAAAAAATCCACAGCTCACATCGTGCAGCAGCTCACTTATGGTCAGCTAAAACAGAGGTGCAACTCTCACCACTCCTTTATGGCTTTTATTTCCTTCCACAGTGTTTTTTGGCCTGTGTGGGAATATGACTTGGGTTTTTTTGGGGTGGGGTGGGTAGGGTTTGGTTTTTGGGGGTTTTGGTTTTTTTGGTGGGGTTTTTTGGGTTTTTTTTTTTTTTTACATTTTTCATTTCAAGCGGTTCACATATGACCTGCTTGTGCTGTAAGGCCCCCTAAATGTCCCCAGATCACAGGCTGAGAAGCACCGCTGGAGGCCAAGGTTATATCATGTTAGACTACAAATAGTATTTCCTGAATATAGCAAGAAAGCAGGGAGAAGAAACAGTGCATGGGAGCTTTGGTCCCAACTGGCCCACTCCTTTTTTATATAGCCTCAGTTTTATAATAAGCACCAGCAAAACAGCAGCAATGGGAATGCAAAACAGCAGCAATGGGAACTAGGCAAAGGGTTGTCCTGAGCTGGAACAGCTCACAGCGTGCTTGCGGGCGCCCACAGCAGAAAAGGGTCTTTCAGAGAGCTGGGGAGATCAGGGAAGGGCTACACGAGCAGGCAAGTGCCCTGACCAAATGCAGGCACTGCAGAAAGCTGTTGTGGAGAAGCATGACTGGCAGCATCCCAGGCAGGGGCATGGGACAGGCAGGGGTGCCTTGTTTTGCTTGCCAGAAAACTCTTGAAGGGGTTCAGCCCAAGGGCTGCTCCTTGGGTTTCTGAGAGTGGTTGAGTTAGAGATAAATGCACTGTCCTCTGCTGGACATGAAACAGTTGAACGAAGAAGGTGGCCTCCTCCCTGAGTGCAACATGCTCTGTTGGGCTTCCCACAGCCCAAGGACTTTGTCCCGCACAGCAGGACAGACAAGTCCCTTCCCACCGGTGGTTTGGTATGTGGGTAATCAGAAGTAGCAGCTGTGAGTGACTAACTCCTGCCGATCACCTTTTAAACCCATGATCTCACATCTGCATTTATTTGCTGTTTGACCAGTGAGGTGAAGGGGAACTCTACCAGGAAAGTCTACAAAATCTGGTGTAGAGGCTTTTTCAGGGATCGGCTTCGTTTGTTTTAATTTTAACACCACTATCTCCAGTCAGGAGAGATGCAGGAGTTTAAGGCCACAAAGGCCCGACGGGCGTTCTGGGGGAAGGGGGAGAGGAGAAAAATGATCTGTGATTGAGAGAAAGAAACTCCTCTAACATGTAGAAATCAAGCCATTGTTTCTGCTAAGAGTGAGCAGCTGCTCTGAGCTACCACCTGGGCCCCCAGCAGTGCCCCAAGCCTAAACTACTGCAGGCACAACTTGACTGAGCTCCCCTCGGCTGCCAAGCCGTCATGCCCAAGCAGACGATGAAACCCTTAGCTCAAGCATGATATTACCTTTAATTCATGCTGGCTGGCTATCAAAAGCCATTGCTAATGTTCATGCAAGTCTTCTATTACTAATAAAACTGCTCTGCAGTTAAAGACCTAACTTTGTTCAAGTGCCATCCCAGACATCTCTCTTGCCGCAAAGTCTCCTGGACAAGAGAAAAACTCCTGGGCTGGCTCATCTAATGGGGACACAAAAGCACCCCAGCAGGTGTTCATCTCCAGAAACATGAGCATTATCTCTGAGCAACAGCAGTCAGCAGGTTACACACGTGTGCAGGGTGCCAGCAGAAAGTGCGGCTGCTTGTGTTCACCCCATTTCATAGGGCTCAGTTGCTGAATTTTTCCGGACAGGGATGTAAATACAGCCTCCTCACTGACTGCAGCTAAACTCACAGCTCCAACCACAGATTGGCACACATTCAAGCTGGGATGTGGATTAATGGCTCAGCCTAGCGGCATAGCAGTATCAAAAGCAAACAACTAATCTGAGTCTTCAAGTTAGAGGACAGCACTTTGCATTTCACAGTCAGGGAAATCAACCAAGCAGCTGATTTAATGAGATTATGGCTAAAACTGTCCTCTTGCATTGATGCCCTGAGCTCAGCTGCTCTCTCAGAAGAGCAGTGCTGCCCCAGGCCAGGTGCCTGACAAGGGTGGTTTGGCTCCAGGAACCAGGGATGTCCTGATGTGACACCACCTCACCACCAGCCTGCCGTGTGCGTGTCTCTCTGAGTGCGTTTGGTTACCAAATGCTCCCACCAGCTGTTCCCCCTGCTCTGCACACCTGGAGCAGCCTCACCTTTATTCCCTCAATCCTGAAGCCCAGCGTGGCGGTTGAGCTGATGGTCTCCCTCCACTGCATGTAGCGGGGCTTGGTTACAGCCCGCAGCACGTTCTCCTCCTCGGTGGGGGCATCAGGGTCCACCTCGATCATCTTCTGGTACATGTCTTTCCTCAGACTTGGCTTCTTCCGGGCCTTTATCAGCTCCTCCTCCAAGTACGTCCTGCAAGGAATGAAGAGGGGGACATAAGCAGGGCCATAGGGCCACCACACGAGGTGCCACGTACCCACAGACAGCCCTTGCCCCAGAAATCACGCCTATCCAGGACAGCTGATCCCTACAGAGTAGGGCAGCATAGGAAATAATGAGGCAAGCCTCATTGCGGGTGAATTGATCCGGATTTAATTAGCACCCCATCATCAACACCTGATTTCTTTTCAGTTCACCAAGGAACCACAACCAGTTTGGGAATAACGAGGGAGGTTATTTCTCACAGGTGCCCATGGCATTGCTACTGCCACCCCTTGCTCCTGGGAGGCCTGTCCCCCAACGCTCACTGAACCTGAGCAGCAACTTAGTGGCTCTCACGAAGTAAACATGGCTTTCAAGATGTGCCCAGGAAACTGCCCACATGTTCTGGGACCCAGCTGAGTTGAAGGCAAGAGGGAAGTTGCTGCATCCCAGCCCTTGGTGTTAGCTCCTGCTCCCTCCGAGGTTTGGCCAATGTGGGTGGCTGCTGCCAAAGCTGCTCCTGTGCCTCTCTTGCACTTTCCCATCCCCTCACCCTGTGTGCTGCAAGGGCTGTGCCTCACTGGCTGCTAAACAGGGTGTTTTCACAAAGAGCTGCCTTGCTGGTGATGACTTTGCCCAGTATAGGTCTGTTTTAAGTGGACTATCTAGCAAAAGCTTCCTGTACAGGATGGAGCAGAGGAAGGGATGCAGCCTTGGCTGGGTGCTTACCATCACCCCCAGGACCATGGGGTGCAGCCAGGATGGGGGAGTGGGGAAGGAGGATGGAGGGTGCAGAGGAGTGTGCAAAGACCTTGGTTTCATGCATCCTTCAGAGGAGCACCACTCTGTGCCAGAGCACGCCCGTGGAGAACTTCTACACTCTGGCATGCAGAAAGCCATCATCCACAAAATAATACTTCCTGCAGCAATAATAAACCACTAAGCAACTCCTCCTGCGGCTCCCAAACCTGCCTCAGCTCAGCCTGGCAAGTGCCCAGGCTCTCTCCAAACAACTTGCTAAGCCGGGTGAGACGTCCCAGCAAAATGACACAGGAATGACCCTATCTGTCTCCTCTTTCCCCCAAAATCCAAACTGCTCTACACCTTCCACTAGCCATGCCCAGCTTTGCAGAGGGGCTGTGCCCTCTCCTCATCTCCCTTGTGCCCAAATCCTAGCACCTGAGCATGCGGTTCCCCTCCAGAACCAAGCAAAACGCATGGGGAGGATGCTAGGCAGACTGCGTGGGACAGTGTTCCTGTGTTTCCCACAGGCTTAGCAAGGCAAACTGGTATCTTTTCTTAGGGCGGGCATATGATCACTGAGCAGACATCCCCAGGGCATCAGCCCCTTGAAAAATGCTGCAGATAAAAGCGATGAAAGGCTTCAGCTGAGATCACCAAACCAATGATTTTTGGGCAGACGGAATAAAATAGCAGAATAAAGAAATGGCGTGCTCAGAAGCACTGCTCACACTGCTCAGAAAGCTACATTTCCTTTTGATGAGAATGACAATTTGTCTATTTCTGTGGTTCAGTCCCCCTGCATCGCTCCAGGCTTGAACCATCACTAGGGCTTAAGACAGACAAAGTTTTGTTTAGGGGTGACTGGAGGAGGCTGCCACATCCCAAAGGCAGGTTGGCAGGAAAAAACCAAACATGTATCTACCTGGCAGCAAGCTGCTGGCTCAGAGGACAGGTTTAACAGCCCTGAGGTTTAGTTTACCTGCCAGAGCCTCTCCTGCCTAGCTGCAGGGATGCCCCACTCCCCAGCATTAGCCCAATTCACCCTCCCTCACCAGCTCTTCCCACAGCACCATCTCATTGAACGACGATGATGCTCAGCACATTTGCCCCTTTGCCTGCTCTGCCTGTCTTAGCTCCAAAAACCCAGGTGGACAAATCACCTGACCTGTGATTTGTGTGTGGGAGGCTTTTCTCCTCCTACAGACAGCTGCAGGAGCACCTGGGCAGCACGACCAGCAGGTCTTCTTCTGGTGGCTGTCATCTCTGGGTCCAGAGTGGGTCCCGTCTCCTTCCCACGGCAGCATGGTGTGTGCCAGCTGGGGCCACGTGGCTGTGCCGGGGCCCCCTGCCCTTCTCTCCACCCCTCCGGTGGAAAGTATTCCTCGCCTCTTCCCTGCAGACAGCCCGACACGCCAGTTCGAGTTTCACATCGGGAGTTCAGGAGGTTCAGGAGGGGAAAAAAAAAGATTCCTCCCTCCCACAGAACCCATCAGCTTTTCCAGCAGCGCAAGCGTCTCCACCGCGTCTGGGCTGTGCCTTAGCCAGCGAGGGGGGTCTCAACCCATCCTGCCGCCAGCCTGCAGCAGACCCAGGGCCGAGCAGTGGCCTGAGGCTGCTCCAAAACTGGCAGCTGCCTGGGGTCACCAGCCCTGCCCTCATTTGCTCTGGGATACCCTCGTCAGCTGCGACATTGCTAGCTCAAAAACTGCTGCTGGCCAAGTGGCTGCAGCCTGGGATCTTGGCATATCTGTAGATGGTTCTCAAGGAGGACACGGGTAATGTTGCTCATCTGTTAGGAAATGTTTCAAGAACTTTGCATGAAAGGCACTAAACTACTTAGCACACACATTTTATCCCTCAAGTGTGCATGGGAGCAAAGGGTAAGCAGAAGGAACATTTCTCGCTCACCAAAGCTGTACCATTCAAGTGTCTTTATTTCACCCCTCTGGCACCCTGGGCAGGATCTACCACACCTTTTGCTCCCTGCCCCTTGCCTGTGTCCTCCTGCGGCAGAGACAGGCAGGTTGCCATCCTCCTAAAAGCTACTGTGCCATTCTGGTGTACCCAAACCCAGAGTGCTGTTCCCTCCGCTGCACCAAACCACTTTCCCAGCACACGGGACAGTCGACAAGCAGAGAAGGAAAGAGCCTGGTGCATCCTTCCCGTACCCAGGCTTCCCCATGGTTCTCTCCTCATGCTGTTGGCTTAGCTTTTCCTGAAGACAGCTGAGCCTGGTGTTCTCACTTGTGTGTTTCAGAGGGTTTTTACCCAGGAGATGTATTTGCTTTGAGTACCCCACCTTAAAACTCAAACGATGTCCCCAAAGCCACTCACCTGACCCCCATTTTACAGTCCATAACACAGGGGGAGTCAAATTCAGCCAGCAGATCTTCCATCTGGTTGTATCGCTCCCCGTCCTTCACAACGTCGCCGTGGTAGGCAGGAACATAGGGCTTCAGGACATCGTTCATCAGGCGGTCGAGGCAGCGCTGCTCCGATTCACAGTGCTTCTTCAGTATCCTGCCGTTGGCCGCTGCCTTGAAACTACCTGAGGGTGACAATGGACAACGTGGCACTTGCTTTGGATGGGGGATGACATCGTGCCTTCCCAAAACAAGAAGGGCAGCCCAACACCTTGGAAGCAGCTCTGTTTACACCTGTACCCGAAAGAGTCCCCGCAGGCTGGGACTTGCAAGCTCAGGCTGCCAGATTCACATGTAGTGTCAGAAGTTTATGACCAGCAATGTCACACCGTAAACAAGGCAGAGACCTGCCCTGCAGCACCCGACACATTTGCTTCACAGCCTCTGTGCACTTCACAGTAGGTTCACACCTTTGTCTCTAGGCTCACGCGTGGGGCATCTTTGTGCTGGGCAGCATCACCTGCTTTGCTGTGGATCAGCAAGAGGGTTTGGGTCTCACCCAAAGGACTCAGCTTTCTGCTGCTTGAGAAAAAAGCAGCAGTAATACCTGCTGGCCCTGGGAGACTGACAGCACAGAGCATTGCACCTTCACATCACTCTCCCTAGCATTTAGGTAAGTCACTCTCCTGGGCTAGAGATGTGGGAGCTGAAATCTGTGACATTCATGCAGCAATCAGAAGCAATTCTGGCCAACGCAGCCCATTAACCTGAGGTAATGAGGAGCCTTTCCACTGCTCTGCCCCTCCCCATGCTCCGTACCTGCGTGTCCTGCTAGCTGGATCCAAGGGTACTTCTTCTTGAAAGACATCACAAATGGGGACCAGTGCACCATATTCTTGATCTTCCGCCATGATTTGCTCTAAGGGAAAAAAAAATCAGGAAAGTGAATGCAACGTTTCAAGCCTTACCATCTGTAAAGTCACTTCAGGCAGCACACAGCTGTTTTGGACAGGGGAGGAGGCACTGGAGCCAGTGCAGGATGGAAGCAAACAGAGAATCTGCTCTTTTCCCATTGCCCTGTGCCAAGCCGGAGCCGCCGGGCCTTGACTCTACATTCAAAAATCACGAGTAACTTCACTAAAGTGGATGGCATTGCAGTGTTGTTCCAGTTGGCTGCTTCTGCTGCAGAGGGGCCATCCATCCACATTACCTTGTCTCTGCTCCCCACATCCCTCTGCAGAAGCAGCAGGGACATTAACCCATCCTTGGGTACCACATCAGATCATGGCAGATGGAGCGGGGAAGGGAGTGCAGGATTTCTACCCAGCCACAAAACTCAAGCCCAGCTCCCGCAGCGAACAAGAGACGCTCGCACAGGCGCGCATAGGCTCACCGCCTGGCTTTTGTTCCCCGCTGAAAAGCAGCTGCTTTGTCCATTAAGCTGGCAACCCCCACACGGCTGATCCGCCTGCTTTGGCCCATCCGTAACTACATTTTAGAGAACAATTCCCTTCTGACATGCTGTGTTTCTCACCAGATAGATTGCACAAAATTATTTACATGACTGTAATGAGGGCTGCATCGGACATATGAAAGCCTCCTTCGAAGGCTCTTTCCTGCGACAGTTTTTCCCTGGATTGTTCTGGGGAACACGCCACTAGTAAAAGGCAGGGGGACGACCTCTTATCTCGGTCCCAGAAGGCGACAGTGCAAACAAATCAGGCGAACAATATACAACGGCGACAATGGAAAAATGCCTTCTTGCAGGAGCTGGGACAAACAGATGGCGTAGTCCTGGCTGCTCCAAGCTACTGGGTTCAGCCGGAAGCCCATAGATAAATTATCCTCATTTGCTCCGCTCTGAAGGCATGGGAAGGAGCCTTCCAGAAAGCCCAAGTAATCTCTTCCTCGTGTTTGGAGAACCAGCTCTTGTTCCAGTAACGCTTCGCAGACAGGCGGGGAAGAGCCAGCAGCCCCGACTTGCAGTTTGGATGTTTGTTGGGGGTGAACTCACAGCATAGGAATCCATGCTGGGAACTGCTGACATGTTTAAATGGCGAGGAAGAAGCCAGACAAAGATGTTAGTGTCTAAAGCGTGGAAATTACATCGGGTTACCCCGCGCCGTGCACCAGCCTTGCCGCGGAGCAGGGACGCATTGCATGGAAATACAGAGGCTGCCCGCACAGTGGGGATGGGGCGGGTGGGAGTCGGGAAGAAGAAAGTCCGGGAGGAGCAGGGTGGCCCTTCCCTGGATGACTGCCCGCGGCTAGGAGTGTCCCGGCGCGCCCGGGCACCGGTACAGCAGCGCAGGAGTTTGGCAAGCAGCTGCCCAAGTGCGGGGTGACACCGGGCATCCCCTTCGCCCAGGCTGCTCTGCGCCGCGGGTTTGCTCTGCTGCCCGGCTTGCTTGCTTTGGCAGGGGGGTCGGGCAGTTCCCTACCTGACATGAGGATGAATGTTTTTATTTCCAAATGGAGCGCCAGAACTTGTGCGCTTTAGCTGTTCTTTGTTCTCCTTTTGGCAGAGAGCACGAGGGAAGGGGAGGGGGGGTGTCCCCTCCTTTTCTTTTTAAAATAGTAACATCAAGTCCTGGCTGATGTCATGAAAAAAAGGGGGAAGAAGAAGTCTCTGAGGGAGTTTGGACTCCAGACGAGCGTGACCCACCTCCTCTAAAACAAGGAGAAGGAGTCCTCCCCCCACGGCACAGCATCGTAAGTCACTCAGTCCCAGGAAACACGCCAAGGCAACGCGCCTTCCCAAGCCAAGATTTTGTTTTTTTGTCGTGGTTAGAGCTTTATAGCTAAAACCTTGAGGTACTTCAAAGCGCAGGCAGAATGAAGGCAAGTGGCACCCGAAGAAGAGCCACCCTGGATCCCCGCAGCCAGGGCTTTCCCAAGAGCCATGTGCTCCTCCCGGGCACTGCTCCCAATGCAGGGTAATGGCCCCCAAGTACCCTGGAAAAACAAACCACCACAACCTTTCTGCTGAGCTGAACAAGACAGGAAGCTGGTCACTGAGCACACCCACACAAGGAACAGGTAGCACATCCCCATCACTTTACACGGGAGAGAGACGTTTTCATCCAGACACACCACCTGGTTTCAGACACACCTTTAGCCAGGCATTTCCAACTCAAGTTTCAAGGACACGTTTAAGGACATGTTTTATGGAGAAGCTTGAGGCTGCTTTGTCCGTCTCAAGTCACTCCCGACTTGCTGGAAATAGGCTGCGAGGCAAGCTGTTGCTGCCACGGGGGTCACGGGCAATTCTGTTTCACGTGGCCCATTCCCCGCCGGCTTCACGAGGGCAACCACGTGGGTACTTGCAGGAGAGAGCAGGGGCCGTGCCCTCTGCAATTCCTTCAGGAGCCACTGGACTTCTGTTTTACGCCTGAGCCACCTCCCAGCGTTATGAGGGAAAGTTTGCTTTATCAAAAGGAAGCTCTCCCGTGCCCTCAGCCCACCACACATTACTGCCCAGCATACACAGCTTGTTTTGCAGAGCAGCCTGCTGGGACCAATTTGTTTTGAGGGGTGTAAGTATCTATACAAAATGTCCGGTCGCTCTGTTGTGGGAGTGCTTGAAAGGTGGTGAGTTTTGCAAGGGGCAGCACCCCTAGTAAACCGGCAGCTGCACGACTTCATCTGTCCGCTCTCCAGGGCTGCCGACCTGCTGCAGAGGAGAGATGGAGTCTGGACCACGGAGGAACAAGACTGGCCAATGCCGCCAGCAATCCTGCCACCCCCTTTGTCTGAAGATAAATTCTCCCCAGGTAAGGAGTTGCTCTAAAAGTTCACC